GCAGAAGCTAGTCGCGAGCTGGCTACCCCAGCTCCACCTGAACTGGCTGCCGTACTCGTAGGCGTCTGGCCTCTGCCCTTGCCGTTCTGACGCTGGCCCTTCACGCCCTTGCCGACGTGCTGCTCCGCCATGAACTTGGCTGCCGAGAGGCGCTGCGCCTCGGCGTCGACCTCAGCAGACTGGGCTGCTGCCGCCTGCGGGGCGGCGGCGGCCGCAGCCGTGGCAGCTGCGCCACTGGCCGCCTCAGCGCGGGGCTCGCCCGCGGGGGCCCCGTCGCCGCCGCCTCCGCCAGGCGCAGCAGCAGCTCCGTCGCCACCAGCGCCTCCATCCTTGGAGTCCACCTTCCGCTTCTTCGCGAGGCGCTCGGCAATCTCCGCACGATACTTCTCCATGCGAGTCAGCCAGTCTCGCACCTCGGACTCTTTGGCCGTCATCTCCTTCTCCGTGGCCAGCAAGCGCTCATGGATCTCCTTGGGTCCTGCGCGCTCGCCCTCCTCGCACTCCAGCTCATCCAACTTTTGAAGAAATCAGAATCCCATGAGATGTGGAAGATGCGCTTGTCCTCATTGGCCTTCATGGCCGTGCCGCCACCGTCAGCTCTAGCAGCGCTGCCCACGCCCTCAGCGCGCGCGACGGCCGCGGCCGCAGCCTTCCTGGCGAGGGCTGCCTGGGCCAGCTGCTTGGGCAGCTCCGCCTCCTTGATCTCCGCCGCTTCGAGGGAGCCTCGAAGACGCAGCACGTTGGACACGGCCTGGGAGTGCTTGTGGTCCGCGTCGCGGTACACTCCATCCGCACGTCGTAGCAACTCCACGGCGGAGGTCTCCTGCTGCTTGGATTCTTCGGCCTCACGCTCCAGCTTGACGACCTGCTGCTGCAGCGCGTTCTTCAGCTCATCATCACATGTGGCCGCCGCGGCGCGGGCCAGCAAGGAGGCTCCCTCAATGGGGCTGCCGTCCTCTGCGGGCTGCTCGCGCCACGGCGGCTTCTTGCCACTGCCACGCCCTAGGCCACTCCTGCCGCCAGCCTTCTGGCCGTGCGCTGGCGAGGAGCTCCTTGAGACGCGGAGGATCCCCTTTGGGTGCACGAGGGTGGTCTCCTCCTTCTCGTCCAGATCAAACTGCACCTTTGGCCCTGTGGTGGACTTGGGACGAAACAGCACAACTTCTTCCCCACATTGGCCACAGATGGATAGGTTACGAACCAAGGCACTGTTGTACTCGCAGGTCTGGCATGCCGCACAGCGCGACCACAGTCGAGCACCTGGCGCCATGGCTGCGAAAGATACTAAGACTGAGTTCTCTCCTGCTCTAGTCGGTGCCGTACAATCCCTCGGCGGGGTGCACGGGCAAAGTCCCTCAAGCGCTTCGTGAAAGCACAGGACAATGAGCCCCGCCAAATTGGTTCGGGCCCAAGTGGCTTGAGACGAGGAGGAGGAGGAGGAGGAGGAGGAGGAGGAGGAGGAGGAGGAGGAGGAGGAGGAGGAGGAGGAGGGAGGAGGAGGAGGAGGAGGAGAGGAGGAACAGGAGGAGGAGGGGAGGAGGAGGAGGAGGAGGAGGGGGAGGAGGAGGCGGAGGCGGAGGAGGATGAATAGGAGCAGGGCGATTCGAGCAGGGCCTGGGGCCTGGGAGTCCTGGACTTTTGGGGGGCTGGTTCCTGGTGCTGGGTCCTGGTGCTGGGTCCTCGGGGCTGGGTCCTGGAGGGTCCCGGGGACCTCAGAATTCTGGGTCCTGGGGTGTCTGTGGCCGAGCGTCCAGGAGGCCAGTTCGGTTCTGGAAGGGGACGGAGGAAAGAGGAGAGATGAGGATGGAGGTAGGAGGTGGGAGGGAGGAGAGGGCGTGGGAGAATGCCTCGGCTCTTTGCCCGTCTGAGGCTTTGTGTGGGCCCCGGGACCCCCAGAGGGGGAGTCGTATCTGACGCAGGACCCCCCCCGGGCCCCCCCCCCGGACCCCCCCCCGGAAGGGAAGGGATCAAAGGGAAGGGGCTTCCCTTCGACTCAATTATCCCAGTGCGACCCTACCTAGGAGCTGGAGCATTTAGGAAAGCAACATCTACATCTACACCGACAGCTACATTTACATCTACACCTGCATATACATCTACATCAACACCAACAGCGAGACTCACATCTACATCTACATATGCACCTACATCTACACCTACATCTACATCTACATCTACACCTACATCCACATCTACACCTACACCTATCCCTCCTCATCCCCATGTGAGCTGCGCTGCGCTATGCTGCGCTAAGCTAAGCTAAGGTAAACTAAGCTATGCTGAGCTATGCTAAGCTAAGCTACACTAAGCTAAACTAGGCTAGGTTCAGCCTAGCCAAGCTAAGCTAAGCTAAGCCAAGCTAAGCTAAACTAAGCTAAGCTAAGCTGGGCTAGGCTAGGCTAGGCTAAGCTAGGCTAAGCTAAGCTAAACCAAGCTAAGCTAAGCTAAACTAAGCTAAACTAAGATGATATACGCTAATATAAGTTAAGCTAAGCTAAGTTAAGCTAAGCTAGGCTACGCAAAACTGAGCTAAGCCAAGCCAAGCCAAGCCAAGCTAAGCTAAGCTAAGCTACGCTAAGGCTAAGCTTAGCTAGTATGATATCAGATAAGCTAAGCTAAGCTAAGCTAAGCTAAGTTAATCTGAGATAAGCTTAGATAAGCTAAGTTAGGCTAGGCTAGGCAAGACACGGCAAAGCTAAATTAAGCTAAGCTAAGCTAAGCCAAGCTAAGCTGAGCTAAGATGAGATAAGCCAAGCTAAGCTAAGCTACATTTAGCTTAGCTAAGCTAAGCTGGGTGAGCCCAGGGGTTGCAACTGGGGGAACCGCGGGGCGGATCCCTGGGGAACCGCCCGGGGCGTGGAACACTGCCCGGCCCTTTAAGCCAACACGGTAAGAACCCTTCTAGGCAGAGCCTAGGTAGGGAATGAGAACGTTGCTCTTGAGGGGGAGGCCCTGGAAAAGCGGGGGGGGAGCGGCGACGGGCCCAGGGAAGAGGGGGAAGGGGGAGGAGGGGAGACGGGCCCAGGGAAAGGGGGAGCGCAGGGACATGAGACGACTGGCCCAGGGAAAGGGTGGGCGCAGGGACATGAGACGACGGAGACGACGACAAACGAACGACGGGAACGGACAAGCCCCTCACACACGCTGACACAGGGTCGGCGGATTTTGGCGAAAGGTCCGACCATATGCAGTTGTGAGTGCCGCTTTGTGGGTACTGCTTTCGGTGGCGCTCCCGTTGGGTACAAAAAGCGTGTGAGGAGTGTGCCGAGACAGGCGTTGCGGTGCCATGCGGGCGCTGCCACTGGGGCCTTCGGTGGAGCCGCCTGAGGGGCCACGAAACGTTTGAGGGGTGTGCCGCAATAGGAGCGGTGGTGCCATGCGGGCACTGCCAGGGCCATGAAGCGTGTGGTGTGTGTGTGTGCTCAAACGGGTGTATTGGTGCCATGTGGGCGCTGCCACTGGGGCCTTCGGAGGAGCTCCCCATGGGGCCCCGAAGCGTGTGAGAGGTGTGCCGAAACTTGTACGGTGGCGCCATGCGGGCGCTGCCACTTGGGCATTAGGTGGAGCTCCCTATGGGGCCACGAAGCGTGTGAGGGGTGTGCCGAAACGGGTGCGGTGGTGCCATGCGGGCGCTGCCACTGGGGCCTCCGGTGGAGCTCCCTATGGGCCCCCGAATCGTGTGAGGGGTGTGCTGAAACGGGTGCGGAGGCGCCGTGTGGGCGTTGCCACTTGGTCCTTAGGCGGAGCTCCCTATGTAACCACGGCACGTGTGAGGTGCCCGATCGGGTACGGTGGTGCCATTCGGGCGCTGCCACTGGGGCCTTGGGTGGAGCTCCCTATAGGGCCGCGAAGTGTGTGAGGTGTGTGTGTGTGTGTGTGTGTGTGTGTGTGTGTTCGTGTGTGTGTGTGTGTGCGTGTGCCGAGATGGGTATGCGTAGGGCAGAGGACAGGAGGGGGAGGATGAGCAGGAAGGGGAGGAGGGAGGAAATATGAAGGAGTGAGTGATGCGGGACGCACGCTGTCTCGTCAAAAAGAGGACCCAGCGCCACATACTAGTTGGGACAAATCAAGACGTCGCATGTGTGGGAATGTGTCCCCGTTCAATTTCGACCACTTCATAATGCTCACCAGTACAGGGCCTTTCTTAGCTCGGTTTCGGGCTCCGGTTCGCTGAGTCGCAGTTTTGAAGACGCCGCCACCTCTTTTTGTCCTCCTCTTCGTGCTCCTGGCGCTCTGGCCCTGATCGTGGCCCCCCTTCATCTCGCCGCTGTACCCCATCAAGGCCTTCCACTGAAAACTGGCCTCGGCCTCCGCCGCTCAGACGCAACTTCAAGATCGACAACGGCATCCCCGCGCCAGCTTTCATGGTTTGAGCGGCCTCCTCCCTCTTCCCCTCTCGCGCTCTGTTCTCTTTGGCCTCGTGCCTCAATTCGCTCCTGGTGCACCCACCGCTTGCTTGACAGGCGTCTGACTGGCTTGGACCATTTGGCGCCCGCGGATTTCAAAGAGTGGGAAGGTGTCCTCAGGGTGTCCGTGGAACCACCCACGGCCTCCAGCGTACCCCTCACGAGACCCACAGGGCTCCGTGGGACTCCCAAATAAAACGAACATTAGATTACCCGCGGGGGCGCGAAGGTAATCGCGCTTCGCGCGTCGCGATCTTGGCCAAAGCGGTTGCCCTTCTCCAAGGGGGCTGCCCGCGGGCGCGATGGCGTGAATATAGCCGCGCGTAGCGCATCGCGTGGCGCGATGCGCGAAGTAAGGCGACATAGGAAAATCAGGGGAGACCTTGGACCAGGGGGGCTATGGGTCTGTGTTGTCGGCCGCCCCCCACGCTCGAACGGGAACCCCCTTCGAAGTCCGACAAGTCACACCCATAGGCCCATACCTCTAGCGCCTTCATCGCCCTGTCCTTCCCCGTTCATCATCCGTACAGGTTTGAATGTGTGTGTGTTCTTTTTCCATCATTGTGGCGGGCACACCTCCAGCAATCCCCGAAGCATCGGCGGCATTGTCGGCACGGTGGGCTGCGCGTCCGCGCACTTCCGCGCCCTGGGGCGCGCCGCGGCGGCTGGCGTCGCGGGCGGGGCGGCTCCCAAGCGCCCGCTGGCGCTGATCTTGGAG